TATCATTTTTAAAATTTTTACCACCAAATATTATCGCCATGCATTATATTTAAAGAAATTAAATAATAAATATCTGCATGAATGTATGCATGTTTCTCACACACTGTGAAAAAACGACGATACCTAGTGCCATCAAATTTTGAACAACGTAATCCTCCATCCGAATATGAGCACCTGGAAGCCCGACTTTGGAGTTTGAAATTTGTTTATGACTATTTCATATTTTTTATACTTTAATGAACTTCTGATTAAGAAACTCGACGATTTAAAAGCGAGTAGTGGTAATACTGTACGAAATAAAACATTTTTATATCCAGCGCGCGAGACTGTCTATCGGAAATTTTAAAGATGTGCTTTTTTTAAATATTTTCAGTCCAAAATGGCGTTAGCCCAAATGCTGTAAAAACATGTATGTATATTTAAGGGAAAAACATTCTCGTTTAGACGTAATATGAAATCTAAAATCTTTAATTGCATTGTTAATTTTTTTAATACAGATATGGCAAGTGGTACTATTTTATTCGAAAGCGCAAACAAGACACTTAATGGCAATCAATTTCCTTCGAAGTATTTCATTTTCGAACAAAATTAAGTTTAGTGTCTTCTAGCGAAAGCATTTGAAAGAGATCGAAATTATGTATAATTTATATAAATCAAATGAAATTTGGACATTAGATACAGAATTCTGAAAATTGTAATGAAATAGTATTTTCATTTTGAACCCGTCTTTAAGATCAAAGCAGATTTATATTTAAAAGCTATTAGAAAACAGAAAAAAAAAATAATTCCCAGCATCCCAATAGTATTACCCAACACAAAATGCAACGTTGATCCCTTTGATCTGAGTTTTCAAAATAGCATAACTTACATCAGTTTTAGAATAATGTTCATATTATCATTGTATCAACTTATATTATGTAAAACCTCTGCAAATTTACATGTGGTTTATATAAATCAATTTTTTATTTATCGACGTTTTCACACTCTATATTTAGCTGTATAAATTTCTAAAAATTTTGCATCCTTTCTTCAGTAGAATAAATAATACTCCTGTTACTATCTTACATACTGTTCTCATCAGAAAATATTTTTTACACGTCTACAGTTGGATTAATTATGAAGCTCCTGATTGTAAAAGTGTCAATTAAAAATCGGCAACCATGGAAAAAGGAAACTCATTCAATTAACCGAGGAAAACCTAAGCATGTTTCAGGCAGGCTTACAAACAAATGATGTAAAACAACTTTATTCATTAAATAAATGTAATAGGTTATTAAAGTTTAATAGCGAATATATAAGCCTAATCTAAGGCGTTGCAAGCTAACTTGCAATCAAAACTACCTTATTTAAATTTCTTACAACAATGTAAATATATTTATATACTCCTCAAGAAATGTAAGCTCACTTTCAAATGAAAGCTAATTTATAAGTGGTTTGTTATTATTTCAATCTGTGTCATTCGTATTCATCGAAATGTTTCTAAAAGTATTAAATAAATATTATAAATTTTGTTCTTACGTGAGAAAACGTTACTTATGAGAGATGATACATTTATAATGACCTCGATTATAACATTCACTAGGATTCCAGTTATCAGAAATATTGAAGATTAATGGTTGATTGAAAACCCAAGTAAAACGAAAAGTCCCGCTATTTTAGATTATTCCATACTTAAAAAATCTAATTCAGACACAGAGAGATGAAAAATAAGCAATACCCTCACCAGGACTCGAACCACGAACGCCTAGAATACGCGCCAAGCGTTCTGACCATTACACCACGAAGGCACGCTAAGAAGGCGGGAGAAATACCTTATATAATCCCCTCTTTTGAAGGGCGACTGGGGATTAAGGAGCCCAGTCTCCAAATCCTTTGGTAGAGAATCACCATCCACCACTGTTTCAGTTCGGACGGCACCGTAGAGGTATTATGATATTTTAGGAAAGACGTGTAAAATGAGCAAGGCTCTCGCCAGGACTCGAACCAAAGAACTTGTAGGAAGTCCTTACAAGTTCTTTGCTCGAACCACGGACCTCTCGAGTACTCGCCGAACGTTCTGACCATTACACCATGAAGGCATGCTAAAAAGGCGGGAGAAATACCTTATTGAATAACCGATCGCTCAAAGCAAGTTGAAAATGACATAAAAAACTGCAAATTTAGAAATTAAGTATCCCGTTCAATTTTTTTCCTTACGGGAGTCAAACATCTTAGAATTTTATTTTTTCATAACCTGTATAAAACTTCTCCAATTCCTGTTCATAGGAACCAGGAGATCGCATTAGAAGTTACATTTCGTTATTTTTCTAAAAAAAATTTTTTTTAATTTGGTATTAACAAAACATGAGCATTTTCGTCATTTAAAACACTTTTGTAATTGGAGTATGACTAACGATTGCGAAAATGAATTATAGGTAAGGACGTTTAATCCAGGTAAGGGGATGGCTATATATATATATATAATATAGCAAATGTGTGTATATGTATATATATATACATACATTTGCTACTGTCGATTAGAATAAAAGAGAGAGGTGCACAACTAGATGCCATAGCAGTCCCAATAGACACACTTTCAACATTTTGCCGCTAGACATTAATTGTTATGCAAGATGCACACGTAGGTACGTACAGACGCCACGACGAAATCCCTTTTGAACTTATTTTACAGTCTCTTTTGGAAACAAGAGTCCTATATTCTGTGCGTACGTACAGTCGTCACATAAAAAAATCATCCAGATGGATACGGAAGAGGTGGAAATGGATATTTCCATTAAAATATGATACCCGAAATTTCTCGCGATTACAGTACTTCTTTACATCGTAAAAGGAAATAATAATAAACAGCCAAATGTATTTAATAACTTTATTTATTGTTTAAATTAACCAATTCTAATTAATATCAAATTTAGGCCACTTTTCATACCTCAATGAACGAAAAGTTGCCGAATATTTCCTAAAGGGGATGTAGATGGGATATAAAAGTAAGAAAATTGAGTGTTTACGTTTTTGTTTTTAGTACATTGATTTTTGGTCAGCAAGTACATATAATAATTTTCAGAAGCGAAAATGCACATTTTAGTTATTTAGTTTAACATTTAGTTACAACTCGCTACTATTGATTTTTTGTGTTATACAAAAACAAATCTTTTTGCGTATATTTTATCGTTTTGAGTTGTCTGTGTTTGTTTGTTTTTTAAAAAAATTGTTACATATAACAAAATTACAATGAAATAAGCAAATATCCCTTAATACAAATATTAATTATCTTAATAAATAAATTAAGAAACTTCCCGTTGCCTTATCTCAACAAACGCCCAGTATCCAAGAGAAACATTAAATTTAAAAACTGCACATAATGATCGCCCTCATTTTTCCAAATGGCAACAATGCTGATTTTCAACAGTCAGTAGTCCAGTGTACAATTAATTGAATGAAAAACTGTTGCCATACCACATTTTAAAAGAATGAAACTATTTAAATTGATGCGATAAAATCGAAAAGATAAAATTTTAAAAAATCTTATTAGAATTTTGAAAAATTAGCTTCCAGATGCACTGGTTCTTGTGTAGATGCACCTACATACCAAATTTCGTAGCCCTGGGTCTATTATCTCACGCTCAGCACGAACGAAAGAGACACAGACTCTTTCTTTTATTATATGTAGAGAAGACATGATCTCAGAAATTTTGGTTCCTTTGGAGAGATGGTTGTCGGCAGAGATTTTATTCTATTTAAAGCCTGTTCTGGTCATTTCAATATATAGTTCGAAAGCGTTCTGCTGAATCTGAACCTTTAGCATCAATATGCGTACTTTTAGTTAAAATGAAGTTGCATGGAATCTGATTTATATCTCGGTAACATTCATCATTAACTATTAATAATACAATCACCATACTTTAATAATATAATCTCTTTCGACTTGATTTAAAATCACTCTTATTAATCTCAACAAGCTGTAGTTATTTCACTCTTTATGAGTGACATCTGCTATATAAGTTACAGTTGTTTCATTTGTTACATTTATTTTCAAGCAGGGAAATTGATAAAGTAATTTTATCTACTTTAAATATGTAAAATAGCCGCCTAGTTGGTATAGTGGTTGGTGACCCTGACTGCTGTAGCGATGGCCCCGCGTTCGAATCCTGGAGGAGGCATGGTTGTAACTGTTCGTCCCTTCACAGTAAGCAACGGTGGCCGCCTATTAGGTGCTTCCTAATGAAATGGTCATAATGAATGATCATAATGAAATGACCACCATTTCTGGCCTTTGTAACGGCGCAAGGCTACTATTAAATAAAGCGCCCGCCCATTAAAAATATATATGTAAAATGTCTTAGTGAAAAATAATCAGGATAATTCTTTTCGTCATGAAAGATGGAATATAATAAAACTGCGGCAACTCAATAAACTACCCTAAATCACAAACTGTCTCTAATGAACCTTTCAAACTGTAACGGCAAATTGTTCATACGGGCAACAGCTTACGTCTTAGTAATATTTTCATGACTTTCAGCGCAAGAAAATATTAATATCATATTATTTTCTGTTTAAACAAGGGCTTCCATACAAGGATTTCAGTGCTATTTATATAAAACCATTATTGTAACAGTTATTAATTACCTTCAAACGCTTTCGGTTAAAGGTAAAAAAAATAACGAAATCATAGTTCGAAGATGACAAAACCGATTTAGGTAGCCACAGGCGAAAAGCTTTCCAGATTTATAATGAAAACGCAGATACAGTAAAACAAGCGACTTCGAAATCTGATTACCTATGATGATGAATTTTACCAATTAATTTTCAATGAGTTTTTAACCAAAAGTAAATTGTCTATTTAAGCAAAGATTTGAACATATTTTACAGGGATGAAACTAATCTATAAACTTTTTGACCTACACTAATCGGCCATGATACGTATGTGATGCAATCTTGTTTACAAGTCTTAACTATTGACCGTACCTTAAAGCCACTCTAGTCCAAGGTCGACCGGTGCGTCTGTGAAAAGAGCAGACAGGATAAAATTTCACTCTCACTACAGAAGATCATAGACGTAAGTATTTTATTTTGTACATCGATCTGGAATGCGGTTTTAAATTACTCGATGATACAGAAGTTTCACTTTCTGTTTCTGTTACATGCCCTGGTTGTTTATATTCTTTAGTGTTGTAAGGTGAGCAGTCTTAGTGTGAATGAAATCCCACTGAAGAATTGTTCTTTGGGCACTCCAAATTTTGTAAATGAAGGCATGTATGTTTTTCGCATTGTGAAAAAACAACGGTACCTACAGCCATCAAATTTTGAATAACGTAATCCTCCACCTGAAGACTGGCACCTGAAAACCCAAATTTTGAATTTCGAATTTGTTTTATTATCCATTTCATATTCTGTAAAATTTTAATGAATTTTTGATTAAAAATCTCAACTATTTTAAATCGAGCAATGGCAACACTATACAGAAAAAACACTTTTATCTCCAGCGCGCGAGACTGTCTGTCAGAAATTCTAAAAATACGCTGTTTTTAAATATTTTGTAACTTTGTTGTTGAATGGAATTTTATGTCGTTTAGGTGCGAAGAACATGATGTTTGATAAATAAAGGTAACACACTAAAAATGTTTAAAAAATGTCCCTTTTCGCGTGTTTCAGATTTTAGATATATATATTTTTTGTATTTTGTTCAAATGATGATTTTCACTTTTTCCATACTTTGATACTTTTCTGTATGATACTACTTTGCCATTTTACGTTCAAAAATTAAATGCAAAACAAAAAGCCGCAGCTTTTAAAATCGAAATTCTTTTCTTTTAAATTCTTGTTTAAAATTTTATTCAACAGTAAAACATTTCCTCTTAGGATTTGATAACAGCAATATTTATTCTTATTTATGAAGAGAAATATTTGTACTTTTTTATTTTTCTATATTTATTTATTTAATAATATTGAAGATTTTCAATGGTAAAATCTTCTGTGAAATGTCATAGATTAATCTAGAGTTTGCAATCACTTGCGTTTGTCAAATTCTACTCGTATTATTTTATTCATTTAAATATTCTTCAGCTGAAAAATTTTAATTATACGCTTGTTCTGTTCTTCTACGTCAACGTAAATTACAGCAAAATTGAATGTCTTCAAAAATGAATGTCTTATATTTTCTTGAATATGAATTTGATTTCATAATTAACTTTGTTTAAGCTTTCAGATAATATAATAAATATTTTGTTTGTTGCTTCAGACGTTCTGTTTCATACTCGAAAAGTTTATTTGCAATTTTTATTCACCAGTTTGATTACTATATTAAACTTTGTCATAGCATTTTATTTTTATCGATTATTTAGAAACTTTGTGCATCATTTCACTGTACCAACATTATATTCCTAACAAATAATTTAATGTTTTTTGCCTGTATTCTGGTTTTCTTAGAGTTCTGTATGTTCTGGCTTATTTGTTTTACTTCGGGAGTTAAATTATTACGAAGGTAGCATAAATTTCCTTAATTTTTAGTGCAATGGAAACGAAATCACTCCTGAAGAAGTAGAACGGAGAACATTTCTCCAGCTGCTTTTCGGATGAATAAAATAAAGGATACATTTCAAGAACATAAGCAAAACGTGATCTATTTAAAATGCAGCAACATCTATTCATATGCATACTAAAGATGCCGGTGTAAACTCGAAAAACTACTGAAAACAGTTAAGTCTCGAGCAGAACAGACGGAAATACCATGCTTATAAATAGAGTACTAAGCATTATTTATCACTTGAGGTTAGGAGCAAATGTTAAATTGTTGCTAGCAGATTAAGAACTTATTTTCTCTTGGAAAAAATTTAATAGTTTCCTCAAATTGATTGATGATGTATTTGTTATTTCTTGCATAGAAATAATAACCGGTTAGGTTTCGAATTCATGCATTTCAGCTCAGACTTTTGCTTGCTTAATGGATTATTACCGTATTATTTGGCAAGAAATGAAGATAAGTTCTGTTTTAATATACGTTTTAACCTTTAAAACCTATCCTCTAAAACATAAATGTCAGTTTCTATTATATTTTTTGGAAGCTTCTAAAGATATTAGATATTTTTGGAAGCAGGAGAGATGAAAAATTAGCAATACCCTCGCCGGGACTTGAACCACGGACCTCTCGAATACGCGTCGAGCGTGCTGAACACTACACCACGAAGGCATGCTAAAAAGGCGGGAGAAATGCCTTATATACTTCTTCTTTTAAAGAGCGACTGGGATCTTAGGGGACCCAATCGCCAAATCCTGGTGACGAAGAATTATCATTCCCCACCTTTTAGTCCGGGCGCCACTATAGAGACATTAGGTATTTATGAAGCAGGAGATATGAAAAATGAACAATGTTCTCGAACTACGGACATCTCGAATGCGCGTTGAGCGTGCTGACCACTACAGTACGAAAGCATGCTAAGAAGAAATACCTTATAAGCTAATGTAATTGTTTCAAAACTTTTGGGATCAGAACTCATTTATTATGCTTGTTTCACTAGATTATGCTTGTTTTGCTTCAGAGTTGGTTCTACCGTTGTTACATCCAGAAAATATAAGTATATATTTTTTAAAGATGCAATTTTTTTTTCGTATGGCGTCTAAGTGATGATAATGTAAACTATATTACAAATATCTTTTCATTTCAGTAGCCAGTTCTCTCATGCTTGAAAATATTTTTTATAAGTTTTTAATTCTGTAAACGTAAGATTCTTTGAAAATATTCATCTTCAAGCAGCTATTATAAGTAAACTGTTACTCTCAGAAAATCGACAAATCGGTCCCTCCAACATTTGTTTCTTTAAAAAAATAAAAATAATAAATAATAAACAAACAATAAAAACAACAAACAAAATAAACATAAGATAAAAAACGTTTCCAAAATCCAGTTGCAAAATTATGCTTTATAAGTCTAATTATTAGTGTCGTTCTGACAATAATGAGAAAAAAAGCCGCAAAGAAAATTGCTCGCAATCTGGAAATTGTAGATGAATTTCATTATATATGCTAGTAAGAAAAATAGCAATATAAATAGGTGCTAAACGACTAAAGATTTCTTTCTATCAATACAAGCAGTCCCGAAAACTGTGCACAAACGTTTGCTGATCATAAATTCAATATTTATTAATGGATGCTTTAGTTTTTAAATTGAAAAGAATATGCAAAAATCGACAAGATTTTTTATCAATACTGGTTTTTAAATGTAATCTAATCACCCCAAACATCCTTTCTAAGAAATTGTTGCCATTTGCCATATGCCACTTACAAAGCTAATCTCTTCAATATCAGTTTCTTCAATGACAGCATGGATTTTGAAATATAACTCTTCTAATGATAATGTTTCAGATTGCGATGGGTCTGTTAATTTTGAAATCCCTATCTCACGATCCTCTTGTCTCACAGTTAAGGATGCTTCCGAATTATAAGGTTTAAAGGATGCTTCCGAATTATTTCAGAAGTGTTGGACCTAGATTTATCACCACGTGGATTTGTTCGATTGTGCTCTTTAAACTGGGTAGAATGTAAAGAATTATTGAATTCCTTTCCTCTTGCTGTTACAGTGAAAGTGACTTATTTATTGCGAATTCTGGTAAGGGCAAAGTTGATTTTCCCCTTCCTGCTCCGAAATGCCTTAGAGTTTTTATAACTTTTCCTCTAATTTTTCTCGATTTGCGGCACTCTCTGTTGTTCGCTACCTTCCAAAACGTTTCTGTAGATGTGCTGAACAGTTCCACCTCCTTTTAATTTTTTTTTTTTTTTTTTTTTTTTTTTTTTTTTATTCGAGGAATGGAACACATGCGATTTTTTTTTTCAAATACAGGATACTTTATTCTCAGCTGTTCTGCATTTTAATTGCATTTTTAAACTTCCATTAGTATTTTAGTATAAGCCCCCATCAGTGATCGAGTGGTTAAGACTGCTAAATGCTGTCACTTCGACCTGGATGTTAATTCAGACGAAATAACCATGCTGTCTGCCCAGCTGGCTTTTTATAATTTTCTCCGTATATAATGTGGCAACGAGCGAGTTTGCCTCAGAAAATCCTCCACGAAGGAATCCCTTCCATTAGATGGGTAGCCCTTGCGGACTTTGCCATAATAACCCAAATTTTGGGGTAACCTTTCTTTGTTTGAAGCCTAGTCGAATTCCATTCGTTATTTCCAATCAGTTAAGCCAAAGAGAAGAAACAATTAAGTGAATTATCAGCTGTTAAAATGTGTATAAATGTTGGTCAAGATTATATGAACCCTTATTGTATGAAGAGAATATTCCTTACTAAAATATATAAAAAATAACCCAAGAACAATACCTCTTATCCTGACCTCCAGTTTTTCCTATGGAATGTTCGAAAAATAGAAACATGAAGTCCTAAATATGTGTATGCATAAAGAACTATATATATAGGTAATTCTTTACACAGTACACGTATTACGGATTGTATCTTGTAAGTAAAAGGAGGGATACGGCAACTTCAAGTTGATTCTGGCAAAGAACTATTATATCAGTCGATCTTTCACATTTTTGCAGCCAGATTGTGTATTAGCCAACTTGCTACACTCAATCCCTTATTCGCTTTCAAATCGTTATTTATATTCTGAGGTTAGTTGGTTTTTCAATATGACCGGTCTACGCAAGCCAATTTGCCATTTTATTCCTTTCACATCCACGCCAACACTGTTTGTACTAAACTTTTAGACTCCATAAACTTCACTTTCTTCGGATTTACTCACATAACATTCAAGAGCGAATTCCCCTCTTTTTCAAAAATCCTCCAATCCTCCGCTTTCTTTAAAAAAAAAAAAAAAAAAAAAAAAAAAAAACTTCGTGAAACTATTCTAATTTTTTTGTCACGTATCTATCACTCATAGGTTTAGACAAAACGCGAAAGAAAGCATATAATGAGATATATCCGGTATACTCGTAATAAGCTTTACTAAAAGCATGAGAAAATACAGAGCGGATAAGAATAAAATAAAAACCTACTTTCCATATCATTATTCTCATAAAAGGGAAAGATTTGCATTATAAACGATTGATAATAGG